CCCTCTCAGAGAGCCCAGCAAGCTACTGAGAGTATCTCGCCCGCATGGCAAAGCCTGGCAAGCTACCCGTGACGTATTCAATATGCCAAACACAGTAACAACAAGTCTCACAATGGAGACGTTACTGGACCCGCTCGAGCAAATCGACGAACAACGGGAGGACAGTGATAGTGACAGTGACAGTGACAGTTTACGATGATATATTACATTAAATATTCCAACTCCAAATCATGTAAGGTCAGAGTTGACTTGAGGATGGGAGATGAAGGGGCTGGAGAAACAGTGCAGGGGATAAGGTGCTTGTCTTACAAGTGGTTCAACCTGGCACCACATGATTCCCGGAGCACTGCAGGGAAGGACGCTCCCCGCCCTCCACTATCTCCCATTTCAACAAAGAGCCTAGAGTTTGTCCCCCAGAACTAGTAGGTGTGGCAACAAAACAAAACACAAAATAGGTGTGTGTGTGGGGGGGGAGTTGCAGGAAGATAGCTCAAAGAGAGCAGGTTTTGCATGCAGAAGACCCAGTATGAGCTCTGGCACTGCATGGTCCCCTGAGCATTAACAGGCAAACTTGGAGCAATGAGCTGGGAGTAGCCCCCAAGCCCCAGATGGTGCTTACCTCCTCTCATAATACTTCCCCCACTCCCACCCCCACCATGGGTGACTGTTCTCAGGGGGACCTGACTTATTAAAAGGGACTGGACTCATCTTGAAGATGAGACTGAGAGGTGAACTTTTCTGCTGCTGGCCTTGATGATGGAAGTGGCCATGTGGTAAGTAAGGTGGACAGGCGGACAGGCTACCAGTGGCTAAGATTGGTCTCTGACTAGCAGGCTAGGGAACAGGAAACGGAGCCTTACAAACACAGGGAAAGGAATTTAGCTAGTTACCTGATGAGCTTGGGAGGCTTGGGAGGTTCTCAGAGCCTCAGGAAAGAAATGCAGACTGAATGCAGGTCCACGCCCTGATCTGAGACCCTGAGAACCTGGTCACGCTGGGTTTGGGTGTCAGAGTTTCAGAGGTGGAAGATAGTGAGTTAGGGTTGCTTGTTTGTTTGTTTTTCTTTAGTTTTTGGTCCACACCCGGCAATGCTCAGGGGTAACTTCTAGCTCTAAGCTCAGAAATCAGTCCTGCTGTGCCTTGGGGGACCATATGGGGATGTCAGTCATGTGCAAAGGCAAGCACCCTGCCCTCTATCCTTTCTCTCCAGCCCCCATGGATTGCTCAAACCATGTGGGATGCCAGGGATCAAACCCATGTCATGAAATTTGTGATAATTTGTTGCATTCCCGTAAGAAATTGCCTTGCACGCAGCCAACATGGCCGACCCGAGTTCGATTCCTCCGCCCCTCTTGGAGAGCCCGGCAAGCTACCGAGAGTATCTCGCCCGCACGCCACAGCCTGGCAAGCTCCCCGTGACATATTCGATATGCCAAACACAGTAACAACAGTCTCCAATGGAGACGTTACTGGTCAATGGGAGGGCCTTTACTTTACTTTATACATTGTTTATTTATTTTAAAATTCTAAATACAGAGCAATCATAAATACCCCCATATTATAAGATACAAAAACATTACCAAAAGATTAAAATTTCCTTTTATGGTCCCCTCTTCCCATCATAGTCCATCTTATATCTCTTCTTGCTCCCCCTTTTTTTTGCAGAAGTAGCCACTCTCTGTCAGTTATCTCCTTCCTTCGAGATCTTTTTCAATGCATTTGTGTACATAGCTATCCTGACATCATCACAGTGGTTTTGATAGCACCGGTTTTGATAGCTGATATATTTTGTGTTTGTACACTAGTATATCGTGTGTGTGTGTGTGTGTGTGTGTGTGTGTGTATGTGCATGCGCACCAAAAGAAGACAGAAGATATAGAGAAATGTTTAAGTTTATTTTTCTCAATTTCACTTTAGGAAAGCACTTGAGATTTATCCTTTAACTGGTCCTAGTTTCTCTGAAAATAAGAAAAAAGTCTGAACTGATATCTGAGAGCATTTTCTTCATGTCACACGTATCCTTCGAACCACTCTTGCTCTTGGATCAAAGTTAATACAGTGAAGTCTTTTTTGAAAAAATTTTGGTTTTTTTTATTTTTTAAATTATGGTATCATAGTTTATAATAGTGCTGAAACCATTATAGTTGGTTGCAGAGTACTACACCAATCTCTCTCACCAGTGTTTCAAGATCCCTTGTAGTGGAAAATGTTTTATCCCATGGACTCCCAGCCCTCATTCTATTGATCAAGTCTCACGATTTGTTTTTATTCACTTAATCACTTAATCACTTAACTTCCCGTTAGTTGTCGATTTGCTCGAGCGGGCGCCAGTAATGTCTCCATTTGTCCCTGTCGCGTGCTAGTGTAGCCCAATGGCATCTCTTCGCTCCGGGAACATGAAGGGCCTCAAACCGATCGTTCATGATCTTGACGAAGAAGTCTGGCCATCTGGAAGGTGGGCGGCCACGCGGTCTTTTGACATCCCGTGGAATCCAGTCGGTAACAGCTCTAGTCCAGCGGTCGTCTTTAAATCTCATTACGTGACCAGCCCATCTGATTTTCGACACCTTGGCATATGAGACAGCGTCCCTGATTCTTGATCGTCGATGGATGTCAGAACTCTGGATTCTCTCTCTCATTTGAGTGAAACGTGATATTCCAAGCATAGCTCTTTCTATTCTTCTTTGGGAGACCTGAATAGCGTTCTCAGCTCATTGTTTTTATTATGATAGTTTAATGCCTTTGTGTGTGTGTGTGTTGGGGGGGTAGATTATGTGAGGCAAATGATCTGCTATTTATCTTTTTCTTTCTGACTATTCTCTTAGTATTAGCATGACACAATTCAATTCCATACAAGTTGCAGCAAATTGTAAATCCTTTTTCTCAGTGCCCAATAGTAGTCCATTGTGAATTTATACATAAATTATTTGAGTACTAAAAATTTGGGTATTTTGGTTGCTTCCAGGTCTTGGCTTTTGTAAATAATGGTGCAATGAACATAGATGTACATACATGTGTATTTTAGAAACAATGTTTTGTGTTCTTGGGGTAGATTCTCAAGAATAGAATCGCACGGTCGTATAGAAATTCTATTCACAATGTTTTGAGAAGTCTCTAAAGTGTTTTCCAGAGAGGCTGAACCATACAACAAGCCCCATTAACAGTGAATAAGGATTTTTCACCACATCCCTGCCAACACTTACTCTTTCTGGTCTTTTTCATACAGACCATTTTTGCTCGTGTAAGGTTCATTGACATTCGTAGATGAGATTCGTATGGACAGACACACCCGGAGATGCTCAGGGTTTGCTTTTGGCTCTGCACTCAGGAATCACTTCTGTCCGACTCGGGGGACCATGTGGGATGCCAGGGATCAAACCCATGTCAGTTGTGTGCAAGGCAAGGGCCCTACTCGCTGTACTATCTCCTCCCTTGCAGAGTCTTTAGAGTCTGCTGTTTAGCATGGTGAGCACAAATTTCCCAGCTTTTAGAGTCAAGACTTCGGATCTTCATTTCCAACCTCTGCCATTTATTCATAGATATGATAAACCTGCTCTGCTTCAGGCTCCATTCAAAGCCACAAGGGAAACCTGGGTAGCTCCTCAGTCTCTAAGTGACCTTTAATGTCTCCTTGTCCCTGCTTTCAACAGGAAATGAAAGATCAGCATGCCTTTAGCAAGGAGCTATGGAACAGCTCTCCAAGAGCTGCAGGTGCTGTCTTGATAGATTTGCTTGTTTTGTTATTTTGGGCCACAGCCAATGGTGCTCAGGATCATTCCTGGCAGTGCTCAGGGGGTCACACATAGTACCAGGGATGGAACCCTGGACAGTTGCATGCAAGGTAAGTAAGTGCCTTAGCCGTTGTACTTTCTGACTATTCACTTAGCCTGACATGATCCAATTCCACCTACGTTCTGCATTTTCACAGTGAAGGAGCATGTGTGGTCAGTGATGACTTGCTGGCCTACTTCACCAAGGCCTTCTGCCCTTGACCTGACATCACAGTGGCCCTGTGACCCTGATATTTCCCCTCCCAGGCCTGCCCTTTCTTTCTGCGGCCTTTTGTGATATGGAGTGGACCTGGCCAGCTCTGGCTCCCTCCGTGTTGGGGAAACCCCAAGGGTTTATCCATCTTTAGGTTGCAGTATGCTGTATAGGGGTGACGCCAGCCACCTCCTCCCTGGGAAGGCGTGTCCACCACCACACCGTCCTCCATGCCCCGCTCCTCCCATCCTGCCGATTCAGGTAGGACCAAACTCCAGTGCGAAATTGGTGTGTGTGTATGTGTTGGGGGCGGGGGAGGGGTTCTTCCAGGCCAGTGCTCTGCCCAGGCCAGAAATCCTCTCTTTGCACGCAGGGCCAGGCCCTAGCTCCCTTATAGCTCTGCTGTTTCTCTTTGAGCACGTTTCAATTCCCTTTTCTGGGGCGGGGTGTGTGTGGGGGGGTGGGTGGGGAGTGGGGAACACATCTTCAAGCTGATTCAATTCTCCCAAGGCTCAGCGTGGGAGACACGTGCCTGGAACAGGGGATGGGGGGGCTCGAGTCTTAAAAGTAAACCAGGGTCCTAGAGAGTGCGGGTTTTGGGATGAGGCGATCAACCAGGAGTGCAAACACCCCCAAACTTTCCTGCCAGGCCCTCCCCCAAGATATCGGGGTGGAGGGATGCAGGCGGTGGGGTAATAAGGTGGGATCAAGGCTGTCCCAGGGTTGTTGGAAGGGGGTGGTTCTTGCTCGGTCGGAGCCGCGGAGCTCCGAGATGGGCAGGGAGCGCCGGCGGCCGCCGTGCGGGCTCGGAGAGGGGGTCGCGCGGCGGTTTTTGTGACGGCGCCCGGCGCGCGGGGTGGCTGGGGGTGGCCCGGCGGCCGGGGGCGGAGCGCGCGGGCGGGTGCGCTGACGGCGGCGGCAGAGAGGGGGCGGCCGCGCCCATTCGCTGCGCTCCGCCTGGGCCGCACGCTCGGCGCCTGCCGGCTTCCCCGGGCGTCGCGGCCGCCGCGAGCCCCTGCCGACGCCCCCCGCGCCCGCGCTCCGCGCCCCGCGCCCCGCGCCCCCGCGCCCCCGCGCCCGCGCCCTTCCGCATGGACGCGGCGCCGAAGCGCAGCTGCTCCGAGGAGCCGGCCGAGCTGCTGCCGTCGGCCCAGGACCTGGAGGAGGTGGAGGACGAGGAGGAGGAGGAGGACGGGGAGGAGGAGGAGGAGGACGAGGAGGGGATGGAGCCCGGGCTGGAGGAGGAGGAAGAGGTGGACCCCCGGATCCAGGTGAGGGTGCTGGGGAGGGGGCGTCCGGTCGTTAAGCGGCTTCGCGCGGGCTGCCGCGGGGTGGGCGTCTGCACCCCCCTCCCCAAGGCAGTGCCTATGACCGGAGTGGAGTCTGGGGGCCACGGAGGGGCCCTCCACCCCCCGGCGGGAAGGGAGGCTCCCAAGACCCCCGGATTCTCCCTACCCCAGCCTGCAGCGGCTGCAGAGCCCGCGTGGATGCGGCCTGATCATCCGATGGGAGTCCCCCCGCGGGGCCCAGGCGGGAGCCGAGGGGTCGCGGCGTGCCCAGCGCGGTGGCGGTTGTGCAACAAAGAGAAACCCGGGGGGTGGGTCGGGGAGGCCGGGGGCGCCACGCGGGTCTGGGGTCCCCCGGATCAGGCCGGCTGGCTCCGGAGGACGGGCCCCCGGCTGCCCGCTGGGGCGCCTGGTACAGCGGCGGGGGGCGTTGCCCGGGGCTGCGGCGTGGGTTGGCACCGCTGCCCCGGCCTGCTCAGCCCTCCCGCACCTGGCAGAGGTGCCGGCCCAGGGCCGTCCTCGCCTCCCATTTATTGTTAAGAAACGGAAGGTTTGATTGTCATCCAAGCGCCCTCCATCCTTCGCTTGGCCTTTGCCTGGCGTTAAGACACCGCTTTTTTTTTTTCTAAATAGGAGGTCGGGTGAACGGAAATCGGGACCCCTGCTCCAGCCTAGGTGGCGAGGGGCCAGATTTTATTATTATTATTATTATTATTATTATTATTATTATTATTGCCTCCATTTCTAAGGGACACGATTAAAAAACAATTTCTAAGCCAAGATCTCCGAATGACAGCTTCACCGTCTCACCCTTCTAAGCCCAAAAGCAGAGCAAAGCTCTCGTTTCTCAGGACCCCTCTATACCCTTTCCATAAATCACTGGCGGGGGTCGGGGGGAAGAAACGTTGCTTTTAAACACGATCCGCAATTCTGGAGCGCTAATCGGGTTTGCAGTGCACGGATCAATTAAAAACTCATTTAAGTCAGCGGTAGGAGTTGAAATGAATTGTTTTTGTCAGATTAGCAAGATAAGGATCAGGTGGGAAAACCTTTGCATTGGGAATGATTTCTATTAATTCAAATCATTGGATTATGTTCTTGGATCAGAATTCTGTTAACAAGATCCTTTGTCTGCGTTAACTTCATGTTGGGTGCTTTTCACAAAATGCCAGTTTGTGAGTTTTCGTTTAAAAGCTCTGAATGAAAGCTTTTTGTTTGTTTTAAAGAACAAAACAAAACAGGCGGTTGAATAATTGACAATCTGATATTTTCAACTCCTTATAGAGAATATTCAACCAATAAATTAATCCCAGCATTCTCTCTGCTCTTGATTTAAATGATTTTTCTGGGTTTTTACTTGTAGCTTGGCCTTGCTTATTATCTTGTATTGTCTCTTCTGCAATGTTCTTGCCCAGGGCAGAGCTACAAGGTGGTTTTGACTTGGCCCTCCAAAGCCATTTAAATAGGTGGGTTTACCTGCAGGCACATACCTGGAGTAAATATTTGACATTCTAAGAAAAATTCCTGGAACCTTGCAACCTTTTCAAAAGGGATCCCATGAGAAGAAAAGGATTTCAGAAAATGCTGATGCAGATTTGCTCTTTCAGCCAAGGTCCAATTATTTATTTCCCTTGAGAATTAATACCTACCTGTCCCTCTTCTGATGATTTGTGCTAGAGTAATTTTTCAGGTCAAGGACTGAGTCATGCTGGAAACAAAGGACCAATTCCTTATACATTTTTTTGTTTGTTTATTCCTTGCTCTTTTCTTCCTTAGGGAGAACTGGAGAAGTTAAATCAATCCACAGATGATATCAACCGACGGGAGACTGAACTTGAGGTATGGAGTGCTGGGTCCCTGTTCTTGGTGAAGGGGTTACATGGCTGCTGACTCAGGGCCGCTTGACTTGTTTGTAGGTTGTGTTATCTGGAGGGCGAGCGCTGACGTCTTCTCTTTGGAGTTGAGCAACAGTCACTCTTGACAGGATAAAATATGCCACCGGGCCCAGCCTGTGGGAGAAACACATATGGATCCAATTTCACATGGTTTTTATCATAGAAGCTCCTTGGGGGCCAAGACCAAGGGTACTGTAGAACGTTGGCCGAACTGGGTTCTAAAGCAAATGTGTCTTTGGACAAACTGTGAGCACTGATGGGGGGAATGAGCCGAAGCTTTTACAGGGAAACTTGTGGACAAGCTCACAAAGCCTCTTAAGCCTCTTAAGAGCAACTTAGGTTAGTTTCTTCTATTTGCGCTTGGAAACATTGTGTGTTCTCTCAAATTCATACCTCTTTTGCCTGTCCTTCTAATAATTTATCCCATTTTCACTTCTCTGCTCATTTCTTTGTCTGCTGGAGTATAAGAATATAATTATCTTAATGGTAACTAAAAGCTGTTTAGACTGGGCCGGGCTTTCCTGCTGGGAGAAATCTTGGAAGACTGGAACTTGATTTGAATTTCATGAGCGTCCTCCAACCTGTATGTAAACGGATTAGCATTCGTCACAGCTACTGATGAGTCTCGTGCCTTTTCAGAAGGGGTTGGTTGTGCCATCCATCGGCAAATTTGAACACCTTCTCCACCCCCAGCTTCCAACATGTCAATACGTCTGAGAGCCTGTGAATCACTGTGGAGAGCTGAAGGGATGCTGGGAGGGAGCTGCTGGGAGGTCCTGTGGGAGATCAGCTGAAGGGGCAGCAAACACCTGGTCCAAAAGAGTGAGGGTTTGGGCAGCAGGAATGTAATTCACTAGAAGTTCCCTGGCAGTCTTGCCTTTCCCTTGCCTTCCTTCCTTTCCTTCTTCCCTCCCTCTCTTCCCTTTACATTTTGGACAGCAGGATGGGGAGCTGGAAACTCACCTGGCTCTCCATGTCACTTGAACCCTGAGATACCCAACCTCCTCTGCCTGCCTGCCTCCCTCCTTTCCTACCTTCCTTCCCACCAGTGATCGAACCCAGGGCCTTATACATGGCAAGGCAATTGCTCCATCCTGGCCCCTATAGACAGCCTTGCCTTCTGACTGCATGGCTAGGTCCTGGAAGTACTGGCTCTAGATGTGGCAGTGGGGATTAAAAGCTTGTCACACTGAGCTGTGTGTGAAAGGTTATCCTGATCCTCGTATTCCGATGGTAGTTGACTATGAGCTCTGCTCTTTCCCTCCAGGTGAGATAAAATCTGCATGTTTGTTGAGTTTTGTTTTATTTCTTTTTTTACATTAAGCACCAAGGTCAGAACACTCCATTTCCTATGAGTCTTCAAATTTACCAAGGTTTTTTTTAAAAAAATTTTTTTATAAGCCTTAATACCTGCTATCCTGTTACAGTGGCGCAGAGAGACAGAGAGAGAGAGAGAGAGAGAGAGAGAGAGAGAGAATGAGAAGAGTGAGTGAGAGTGAGAGAGTATGTATATAAGAGCGTGTGTGTATGTGTGAGAGAGAGAGAGAGAGAAAGAATGAGAAGAGTGAGTGTGTGAGAGTGTGTATATGAGAGCGTGTGTGTGTGTGTAAGAGAGAGAGAGCAAAAGAGCGAGCACAGGTTCAGGAGAAAGCACAGCTTTTGCCTGAGAGAAGTTGGGGGAGATGGGAAAGCGGAAGTTGAGATGTTGGTGATTCTCAAGGTGAAGTTTGCCATAGCATTTAAAAAGACTGAAATCCCACTTCTTCAGCCACAGTAGCCATTCTTCAGAGCTCAGTAGCCATGATTAGAGAATACTTTCATCCCTGTCGAAAATCCTACCATGACACCACAGGCCAGGAAGATGGGCAGAGGGGGTTGGGCATCGCAGGGCTCAAATGACGTGGAGAGCCAGATGAGTTTCCAGCTCCCCTATCCTACCATCCAAAATGTAAATAAATATGTTTGAAAATGGTCATTTTGGAGGTAGAGGATTCATTCAACAAATATTTGCATCCTTGTGTGCTATCAGGCTCTAGGTAAGAGGGTCCTTCATCTTAGCCCTCACAGTTTACTTTCAGAAGTCAAAATGGATCTGTTCAGCTCTTTTTACCTTCATTTCCAAATCTCTCTGAGAATGCCCTCAGGAATTTGTGTGTCACAGGAAGCCACTGGACAGGTGTTTCCTGCCTTGCTCTGGCCCGTGCCCGGTAGCACTGAGAAGAGGCAGTCAGAACTGGCTTGCACGTCAGGCTGACCTTTCCTTGCAACTCGAGCCACAGCGGGTGCATAGGAGTGCAGCGGGAACGCCATAGGTCACTGACGCTGGCCTGCTGGCCGTTACAAAATGTGGAAAGAAAACAGCTGGGATTAATTATAGTATATGGCCTCCATCTCCCAGATATCTAAAACAACATCATTTCAACATGGAATCAGTGTTCCACATACAAACTCATGAGCTGTTTTTACATATGTTCTTGTACTAAATCTTTCAAACCGTGTGCCTGTTTTACACCTCAGCCTTAGATCTGTTTGCTTCTAGGGGTAGCCCAGAGATTTCTGGGTGCTTCTCACCAGATAGACTATTGCAGCTCTCTGGGTGCTTGTTGCACTGTGGGTACAGGGATCAGAGGGTGGTGTGTGTGTGTGTGTGTGTGTGTGTCTGTGTGTGTCTGTGTCTGTGTCTGTGTCCATCCATGGTGGCCTTCAATCAATGCTGGCCAACATGACCTTGCGTCTGGGACTCTGGTGACCATTCCAGAGGCGGGCAGAGGCCTGGCCCTTAGGGAGTTCATGATGGAGCAGAGGATGAGAAGAGGGAAAGATAATGACCAATTGGAGGGACTTTACCAGCTACAACAAGAGCCGTGTGACAGCTCCTGAGAGCCCCCTGACAGGCCTGGGAGAGGAGTCTTAAGAGGAGCGTGGGCTCAGGTCTGCAAGGGGCGAAAGCAGCCAATGGAGTGATGGTGGGGCCCTGAGGAGCGGTGGGACAGGAAAGCCATTTCAACATCTGGTTAGTGATGGTGGTGTTTGAGGTAGCTGTTTCCTCTGCAGCAGCGGTGACTGTCACGGGGCAATTGTTGGGCCCAAACCCTGTTTTCCGGTTCCTCTAGCCCTACATCTACTTCCTTTTAGCGTCTGGTCCTCCTGCCTTAGCCAGTGCATCCATCCAGATGTGTTTTAGGCATTTTTGTTCATGCACACCTTGAATACCCATTGTTGGATTTGCACGGGGCCCTTGAATCTGCTCAGATGAGTTTCTCTCCTGGCCCATGGCATGAAGGGCATCCAACAGCAGCACAGTCCTCAGAAGGCCATTTCTCCCCTGCCCGCTCCCCCACCCACTGCCTCCAAGCTTTCTACTTTAAAAAGAATTTTTTTAAAATTGAGATTAGGAGTCAATTTATTATAGGAAATTCACTTAAACACCCGACCTGCAGATTGCAAAACACTGGCCCTGAGTGGATGCGGGACAGGGACTCTGTACGGAACCGCGAGAGAGGGGCAGGTGTCCTTGCTCGCCTATAGGTGATCTACGTATGTATACATGTGTGTGTAGTGTGTGTTCTCAGCTACATATGCATACATGTGTGTACTGTGCATTCTCAGCTACATGTGTATACGTGTGTGTACTTTGTGTTCTCAGCTCTGTATGTAGACATGTGTATACTATGTGTTCTCAGCTACATATCTATACATGTGTGTACTTAATGCTCTCAGCTACATATATATACGTGTGTGTACTTTGTGTTCTCAGCTCTTTATGTAGACGTGTGTACTGTGTGTTCTCAGCTACATATGTATGCATGTCTGTGTACTGTGTGTTCTCAGTCTCTGGTGGGTCCCCGCTCCATGCCCCCAGGTCTCCATGTTGACTCAATACTGAAGATTGACAGGATATCCTTCTGGGGCTTCTGGGGGAGGAGGATTTTGTGGGGTGCTTTTCCTTTCCAGATGGGGAGCCCAGGTCCACTCCTGATTTGGTCAGAGGCCAGATAAACTGTCTGCTGAGTGCGCTTGCTGGTGGCCCCTAAGCTCTCCCATTGAAATGGACCAAGGCAGCAGAGGCCGTGCTGTAGGCCTGGGCTTCAGCTTTAGTTCCCTTCCTGGTCTGGCCTGTTGGAGTCGGAAGTTCCCAGAAGGCCCCTGGCTGCTGGCCACCAGGCATGTCATCATTTGGCTCGCTGCCGCCTCCTGCCACCCATCCGTGCCTCTGGCCTGAGCTGACAGTGTCTGGTCCCTTTGCCCTCTTAATTTCCCTTCCAGCCTACTCACTCTGCCCAAGGGGGTCCCTGGAGACAGGTGAATTGCCCCGCACTCAGTTTTCATTAGTGCTGGTGCATTTTTGAGCACCTACTGTGTGCTGAGGACAGTTTTAGAGGGTAGAGAGAGTGGACAGGGAGCCCCCTAAGGTTTGTCTTAAGGATAGGGAGGAAATGCAACAAGCAGTGAAAACACGAGTGGGGCAGAGGGGAGGTAGTTTAGCTGGCACCTGAGTTCAAACCCTGGCCTCTTTATCCCCAACCCAGCACAGAGGGGGGTAACCATGTTGTTCCCAGCACCTTAGAGCCTCACATTAAACCCTGAGGTCCCTATTGGACAGCACTGCCAGCTTGGGACACCCTGTCTCTCACCCTGCCACACACACACATATACACCCAGGCTGGAGAGAAAAACAGAGTAGGCAGGGGTCTGGACAGTGTGGATATTTGGGGGTGGGTTTGGGGAGGGGAACTGCTACATAGTATAAAACCCTGAGAGCATGGCTGAAAACAGTGCCGCACGCATGAGAGGAAAGAACATTCCAGACAGAGGGAATAGCCAGTGTGAAGGTCAGAGCAGGAAGAGAACCAGCAGGGGGTGACTGAGGGTGGGTGGGGAGATGGGGCTGGGGACCATTCGTGGCAGGGTCCACAGGTGAATGGCAGATGGACTTTTCACATA